GGGAAAAATTTTTTAACTCTTTTTCAAAGAAATCTATAACGATGAGCTCTTAAAGGCATCCCAAAGTGTCTGTAACGTGTCCACATTTGAAGGATTTCATTTTAAAACACTCACTTCCGCAGGCTGCATTTCCGTGGCCTCTGAGGGAAGCAGGGGCCCAGCTGTGTTTGCTGCTCCAGGCGCTGGAGTCGACACCAGGTGGGGCCCAGCGCAGTCCGAAACCCCGTGGAGCAGGGGTCCCCGCTGTGGACGGCCTGGGTTAAAGTCCTCTCAGTGCCACTCGCTAGCCCTGTGACCGTGAACATGTAGCACAACCTTGGCCAACCTTGGCAAAGGTAAACTGATGAGTGTAGCTGCCACGTGCAGCCGTGAAGGGTGGATGAGGTGGTTCCTTCAGGACGTGACCTGTCTTGGCTGGCCAAGTCTTCGGGCCTGGGCTAAAGTAACCCTCCAGTAAACATCCCCATTATCCTATTTATTCTCGATGGTCTTGGGGTCTTCAGGCCTCGGAGCCTACAGGGAACCCTTTGAAGGAACTGAGCCCACGTCTACTAAATTCCCTCTGTGCACGGAGTGACTGGGACCCGGAGAAGAGAGAGAACAGGGTGAGCTGAGCTCAGAGCTTAGCAAAGGATGATGACTTTGGCCGTAAGTGCTGCTTTATGGCCATCCGTAAAGCTGTCCGTCAAAATCTCCCAACAGATGACCCGCCGAAATGAGAGCAGGAGGGGGCGGCACTGCAGAACACTCCGCCTGTCGGGGACACAGATCACGGCAAGGGCACTCCCGTGAAGCACAGGGCGTCTCTCTCTTCCTTCTGCCTCCCTCTCAGGCCCGGGCCTGGCCCCTCGGCTGTGGCCCTGCCTGTCAGCCTACAGTTCCCATTCATCCGTTTCCCCTGAACCCGATTTCAATGTACTCATGCATTCGTTCAACCATCTAGTCATCAATTTTTAATGACTCACATAGCAGATATTTACTAGGCTAATAACTGCAGATCAGATTTCTTGGGGCCTTTCTATAAGGTGGCATCTTGGATGAGTGATAACACTAACGACAACAGCATCAACATTTGTCGAGTGTGCATTGTGTCCTACATGAGTTATCTCATCTGTCTTCTCAAAAGTTGTCTGAGGCAAGAAGCTGTTCGTATTATTAACAGCATTTGTACAGGTTGGGACAAGTGTCCTCGAGAGTCTAGGGAAGTTGTCCAAAGTCACATCGCTAGTAAAATTTTAGAGCGAGGTGTCCGAATCCTGTCGGTCTAATGTAACACGCAAGCTGCTAACCACAACTTGGGGGCAGCCTCGACTGAGCCAAAACGCAGGGCTTGTCATCCTGGTTTAGTCATGAGTTCACAGGGAAGGTCGTACTTGAACTGTGTTGTGAAGTGTGCACAAGGAGACCAGGAGGAAAATGATCTCAGAAGGCATTCATTCTGATCGGAAACAACATGCCAAACAAAACACTGAGGCAGAAACCCATGACACGGCCCCATTCTTTCCACCAAACTCATTGGGAGGCTATGATATGGCATCACCAACTTGACAAAACCAAATGGTGAGTTAGAAATCTTTCCATCGAGAGTGACAGGAACTCCAACTCCAACTGGCTTGCAGATAATGAAATGTATAAACATTCATCACCGAAAAGACCAGGTGCAGGACCGGCTTCAGGTACAGTCCGATCTAGGTCTTCAGGGTTGAGCTCTATTTCTTTCCATCTTCCCTCTCTGCCTCCCACAGTATCACTTACATCTTGGGGCCTCAAATGGGTTCCCACCAGCAGCTCCACAGTCTTCTGTTTCACTAGTAATGAAGCCATTTGAATCCTCTGATCCTCACACCACACAGACCACAGAAGGTGGGTTTCTCAAGAAGCAGAGAGAACCTTCTTTTTTTTTTTTTCCCAGAAGCCCTAGAAATTTTCTTCACAGGTTTTATCGGTGCTGCCATCCTGAATCAATCCCCATGGGCACAGGGACAGACGGCATAGGGTAGGAATATCGGCTTTTGCCAGTCGGGGCCCACCCCCTAAAGCTAGACAAAGGGTCAATGCCACACTAACAGCGTGGCTGGTCACGGCAGAGAGTGAAGCTCCAAGTGGTGTTATCTGAAAGAGGAAGATGAGCGGAAGTTAGACCGCCAGAGCCAGTGGGGCCGACACACAGAACAATTCCCGTTGCGAGATTCATTGCCCTGAAGTATCTCCCTGGAACACAGCAATGCAAGCTAGCCCTGCATTACACGGGAAACCTTGCCTTACTCGTTAGCATCCTGGAAGCATTTTCTACACTAAATGCAACAACAATTTTTTTAAATGTGAGTAAATAGAGTGGTTTTTGTTCTTCCCAAAGTGCCTCAGGAGTCCCAACTTTCAAAATGTCTCGAGTGGGACAATTGTCACTGCCCTCCTTTACATAAGTAAGCCTCGCCTCCTGCCTAAACCAAAGGTGTCGACTTGCACCACTCCAATTACATGAGATTAAATGCTGCGGTTCTCTACGGAGGTTCTTTCTGCATCACTTACTCCACAAACGTGTTTGGCATGTGTAAACTGTTGTGATCGCGTGTCTTTGTGTGACATTTTGGGAAGGGGAAGAAACTGCGTGGCTCCGTGGATGACACAGTTCGCGACAATATAAAAATTTGAAATTCTTAAGCGATTTAGCATTTCCCCTTCCAGCCACATGATCTATCACAGGGAAGTGATATTCTGGGGGACTCAAGCCAATCAGAGGCTAGGAGTGTAGTTTTTCCAAAACAAGTGTATGTATAAATTATCACTCTCTTCTCTCCTCTCCATAAATAGCGACACTAATAGATCCATAGCAGGAGATACATGAAGGGGTGCCATGTTCTACAACAATTCATCTTGTCTGGGGAAGGCAGAGTTGAGAAATCTGATCAGCTAAGATGCACAGCCACACTTCAGCCCCGTCCGGCCTCTGACTGCGGTGGTGAAAAGAATGTGTTTCTCATGTAGAAGAGGGAGCTTGTGTGTGTGCAACAGACAGGGAATGAGGAAGAGACAAAAATCTAAGGTATCATTGAGCCACAGATATATCTTACTGGATTTGCACAACATTTCTATAAAATTGGGAACTTACTACATAAAAGCTGAGATTACCATCTTCCTCTAAAGCTCCAGAGATCTGTTCTAAGAGGAAAAACAGTGTCCTGGACTCATACAGCACATTTGTATAGAGGTGGCCACCTTTAGGCAGGACACCAGCTCTCCGGTCTGCCTCAGTCTCCACCAGTCCCTGTTGCCTCAGATCTAATCCATTCCATTTTGTGAGCTTCCTGGACACAACACACAGCTGAGTTGGTGGGCCTTAATATAATGAGAGTCACATGGACTAATGATCCAGTGACTCTTTAATCCAGGGTCTTTTAAAAATATGTCCAAGGTATAGTTAGTGACAGTGAAGAGAATTCGGTTTCCTTGAATGTTTTTTTTTTCCAGAATCAAAATTACTTTATAACTGACTTTCATTGGTTGAAACAGAGTCGATTGTCTTTAAAAAGAAGCAAGACAAAATATGTCCAACTTTCCTGCAGTTTTAGTTTCTCTTTGGCATTCTTTTGTGACTTTTCTGAACCAGGCAGCTTCTTGGGAGGTATATCAGGAGGTTTAATATTCACAATATAAATCACATCCGTTGTAAATCACAGCACACTACGCATTATGTGGTTCTGGAATTTCTGCTAACCACAACTGCCATCTCTGAGCTGACTACAAATGCCATGTATGTTAGTCACAAACATGCTCTGCAAAACTATTCCAGGGCTAACAAATGTTATTTTGTGTATCTTTGCCTGTTTTGCTTTACAGGGGTCTATTTTTTCATCGGAGAAGGGCAAATATATGTTTTCCCACCTTCTTCTGTTACTGTTCCTAAGCCCATTAGAGGTTGGCACCCTGGGCAGCTGACCAGCTGACCCACCCCCAACTTCTGTGGGAGAACGGGAGGGCGTGACTGAGCCGATCACTGAGTCACAGAATGTGTGAGTTGAACAACTTGGGGAGTGGGGAAATCTGTAAAGCGGAATTTTGAGAAGTTCACCATATTTTAATAAGTGCATTACAAACTTTTTTAATTGCCTGTTTTTATGGCACTCCTATATGTATCTAATTCAGGAGTCGGTGAACTGTGGCCCGTGGGCCAATCTAGCCAGCTGCCTGGCTTTGTAAATAACATTTTATTGGAACACAGCCATGCCCACTCATTTACATATTGTTTATGGCTCTTTTGCATACAACAGCCGAGTCGGGTAATTCTAACAGAGGCCAATGTGGCCTGCAAAGCCGAGATAGCTACCGTGCGGTCCTGTAAGTAAAAATTTGCCATCCTCTGATCTAATCCTTAAACATGGTAGAAAAATGTTATTTAGTGGTTGTTCAATGCATTTCTCTGAATGATTTGTTCCCCTTGATACAAGTTCCTAGGCTTCCCCTTCAGGACGCGTGTGACAGTTGTAATTATCTATTCTCTGGACATCTTTGTACTATAAGCTGCTTGGGAAACCGCAGTTGGATTTGACTGTATCCGTGAGGAATGCTTTTAACTGCAAGTAACAAACATTTGGCTGTGGCTTACCCAGGGAAGATTTGCTGTATCTCACTGACCATAAGCCCGGACGCCTGTGAGTCTGGCTTTCATACAGAGGCCCCTGGACTGCGCAGACCTTCCCGGCCCCAGGCTGTGCCTGTCCCTCCTGTGTCACAGGACGAGCTCGCTGGTTCTTTGTGTGTGTCACCCCTGGTTGCAATTTGTGACCACAGCTCCAGGGGTCACCTGCTCACATCCACTCTTCAGGCCGAGCAGAAGGGACATGAGCAGAAGGTGGTCTCCTACCTCATCCCACCCTCTTCATTTTACACACGGGGAAAGAGGGGCATGGAAATGGAAAGTTAGATGTTCCAATGAGTTCTGAGGGTCTCTCATTGTCCAGCATCCATGCCCCACCCTTCTGGTCGTAACTCCTTAATCGTTTTCTATCACGTTCTTACATGTATCAAAAATCATACCGGACAATGGGTTCTGGGTTGCAAAAAAGAATTTTGTTTTCACACCTGGTTGTGGTCTCTGCTCACAGACTAAACAAAAACAAACACAAGTGCTAACTAACTCTAGTTTGGCTTTGAAGAAGGAACTCTCTCGCACAGTGGGGCTGGTAGCAGCCCTGCTCAGGGCGAGGCTTCGGTCCCAGGAAGAGCGTTCCTAGTTCGCAGGAGCTCCCGGGGAAGAAGAATGCAGAGTTGGGGTTGCTGGTGGGCAGCGTGGAAGAGCTGGGCTGAGAGGGAAGCCCACAGAAAGGGAAAACTGGGCAGGAGCGAAGGGAGACCCGTGAGGTCATCGATGAGCAGCTGGATGTAGCTGTTCCTGAATCAGGTGTTTTATTCAATGATGCTTTCTGTTTAAAATGACAGAAAAACCCAACTCCAATAGTTCTAAGCCATAAAAGGGATTGTTTTTTTATTTTTTATTCTTTTAAGTCTAGAAGTAAGGAAATCTCACTCAACAGTGTGTTTATACAGTGGATGGATCATGCTATCAAGAGCCTACTTATGGGGTTGTTTGGTAGTTTTCCATCCCTCATCTGTACTTCCTTCTAAGCCAGTCCTCTTCCTGCTATGAGATAGCTTCTAATTATAACTCTCCCTGCCTGGGTCACTAGATTGAGTGTTTTTGAGATTCAGCTTCATTGGACCCTTTGCTGACCCAGTGACCAATCACCCTAATCAGGGAGCAATGGAACGTGCTGATTGGCCTTCGCTCTGGTGCTTCTGGGAAGTATGCAGATCAAATGGGGAAGCGTGAGATCCTTGAGTGGAAGTCTGAGTTATGTCCAAAAGGATGAATGGAGTGCATGCTGGGAGGAAAAATAACTAGTAACTCCCAGACTTCTGAGTTACGTGCAGCCGAAGCTTTTCCTTTGTCCTCGGGCCAGTCTGACTCAATTTTCTGTCCTTGCACCCCACGGGTACTTACCCTTGGGAACAGAAACAGAGCATCTCTGCACCTCAGCACCTGGCAGCGCACACCCACTCTCACGTCCTACTCCACGAGGTACCGTGTATTTTCGGTTTTGCCTTGCTCTGCTCGTTGCAGAATGAGCTCCAGTGTTTCTCTTTCACTATGTGTGCTCGGCAAATGTTTGTTGAATGAGTGAGAAAATGTATGAAGAAACGTCACCTCCCTGTGTCAGAAGAGGAGCGGTCCTCGCAGGCCAGCAGGCCCACCGTGTGCAGAGAGCACCGAACCCCCAGGCTCCTGCCACCAGGCCTGGACTCTGTTCCTCCACCCACGTGGTGGCGGCAGACATTCCCTGTCTCCCACCACCCGCCTCTGCTTCTCGGGGCCCCGCTGGTCTCCTTCAGTTCATCTGTTTTCTTCCAGTCCTTGAGTGTTCACCTTTCTTGATGAGAATCTCACCTGTGCGTTTGAGTTCCAGTTGTTTTCATGCGCAGCGGAATGAGAAGGCATGAGTGCGTCTTTGCTCTATTGCTTTGCCCACTGAGGGGCTCGGGCTTCCTCTCAGCTCTGCCTCCATGTCCTCTGCCTCCGTGCCCACATGGGCCCATCAGGCCTGGCTCCCCCATTCCCATGCTCTGCAGTGAGAGCCATCTCATCGCACAGCAGACCGGGGCTGGCACAGAGGTCCCCTGAGCTGACTGGCTGCAAGAGGCTCACGGGGGCAGTGGATCTCAGGCATTCAGTGAAGACATCTCCAGGACCCTTGACTGTCCGGATGGGCCATGTTGGAGACCGAGGGGACCCTGTGCCTCTCAGGCACCGATGGGCCCCAGGTGTGGTCTGCTCAGCGGGGCTCCATCTTAGAGTTCTAATGAATTCTCCGGCTGGGGGCGGTCACAGCCCTAGCACTGGCCTACCCCCCAGCAGGACTGCCAAGGACCTGTCCCCATGGTGGGGATGACACAAGTGCTCAATGCTCCTTCTGAAAATGTTCCTGAAATCCTGACCGTCTAGGGAGCCATGGATGGCTTTGTGCTGTGAAGAACATCGTGGGACAGGACATTGAACTCGCACAAGTGGCTGTCCCAACCGCTGTGCTCCATGAATTCAGCCACCACCCATCAACTCTCAACCGTGATGATAGGACATTTGAGTAACATAGGTACGTGTGAAGAATACATTTTAAAAATTGTATTCAAATGTTGAAATTGGAAAGCTCGCTCTTCTACTTACTTATTACCGAAACCATCGATTCTCCAGTGTGGTCCCCAGAGCATCAGCAGCAACGGCGTCATCAGGGGACTTGTTTAAATGGAAACATCGGGTCCCTACCCCACACCTACCGAGTCAGAGGCTCTGGGCAGGCACTCCTCAGCCATCGGTATTTTCATAAGCCGCCCACGTGACTACGATGACAGTTCAAGAGCCACCGACTTAAACTACCTGCTCTGTTTCCTAACATGTAAGACGGGAGGTAGACTACCTGGCCTCTTAAAGTTATAGCACAGGTTAAATTCAAAAGATTCCACATGGAAAGCGGTTAGCACAGTGTCTGGCACGCGGTGTGCACTCAATAGATGACAGCTGCAATTAATGTCAGCATTATTATTGGATTTCTTTTCTGGGTGGCCAGTGAATCTGTCTATGTCTCTGCATGTCTACCTGTGAAATAACTGCAGAGAGGGGAGATATTTTAACATTAATCTTTATAACAATAGCTAATTTATTGAGCTCTGTGCCAGGCACTTGGCTAATCACTCTGTGAACATTGCATTCGATTCTTATTTTTAAAAAATGCTAAGTGAATGGTGCTCTTATTATCCACCTTGTACAGGTGAGAAAACAGCTTAAGGAACTTGCCTGGGATAATACGGGTAGTGAGGGGAAGAACTGGGAAAAGAATTCGGACATGGGGCCTCTGAAGCCCAGTTACTTAAACACGTCACCAAACCACCACTTCAGAAGTGGTTTGCAAAAGCAACTTGGGGGTGGCAGTTGTCATTCCTATCATGCTGTTGGAGAAATCAGACAGTCACTCTAACATGTGCACGATGTCATAGCTACTGACTAATTATAGAGGAAGGCTCTGGATCAAATTTTTGCTTGAAATCAGTTTTGTTTTTTAAGACACTGGGGGCAGAGGAAACACGGTAGCTGCCCTCCATGAAGTCCTCCAGAATTCCTCGTTTTGCCAAGGCGCATCGGCCACGTGACCGCGATGGGGGACAATTTGCTGATGACAGGACTGAAGACGTCCCAGCGACTGCTACCTGTTATTCCTTCTGAGTCGCAGTTTGGGGCACTGATGTCCTGAGCCCAGAGAACACATTCAAGTGCTCGTTAGGTAAGAGAGTCGTGTAGGGAAAAAAAAAACCCAACAACTCTGCTTCCTTTACCTGCAAAAGGTAAATCTTCAGGCAAGGATTAGAAAGAGGAAATGGGGAAATGTGACCTGTAATTAGCGTTAAGTACATGTTAGCAGTTACACTTATTAGTATGGGTTGGGGCCCAGTGATGAATGCCAAGTTTATATCATTCCTCAATGGCCACAAAAAGTTCTGGCACATGAAATACCAATGACATCCTACAAAACAATTTATAAACGGGCAAATTTATATATATATATATATATATATATATATCTCCAAGGAATTTCAGAAAAGCTGCTGAATTTGTAAAATCCATATACAGGGTCTGGCAGAAGTAACTGCAGGATCAGCCTGCAGGAGTGTGGTTGGTGGGGTAATAAGATGGGGGCCTTAATTTATAGTTTTAATTTGAACATTTCACCTAAAATGTCAGAGGGTGTGCTTGAGTGTGCTGTTGTCGTGTTACAGAATTACATGCTTAGGATTTTATAATAAAAGGTTTTGTAATTAAAAAAAGGGCGTTATTTGTGCCGGACCCTGCACTTAAACACCCATCAAAAGGACGCTGTTCCAGGGTAAAACACATGTCCGGCGTTCACTTTGTTCTGGAGAACTTTTAAGGGTTCAAAAGGCGAGGAGCAAACCCCTGCAGGTCTTCTGACCCGAGTGCAGCTGATCCGTTTGTCCATTTTGAGAGTTCTTGCCTAAACCTTCCAAGCTGGACCTCAGAGGTAGGACAAGACGTTTGGTTCAGTGTAAAACGTCCCCGTGTCCCCAAAATGACAGTATCCACAATAGCACCACTGAACAAACGCTCGTCTGGGCTTCTGCCTTCTATTTTATTTTTTATTTTTTCCCTCTTTTTAGCTCCACCCCAGTCAGCTCTTGAAAGGCCTTCTGTTCTGTCAGCCATAATGACATCTGCCGGCCGAGACAGGAAGTCATAAATCTGTAGGTCCCCTCTCAACCAAACCTTGTTAATGCTGCCATTTATCACCGGGGCTGGGGTGCCATCTCTGGAGGGCTGGACGCAGAGTGCATTTTCTCCCCGAGCCCTCTCCCGGGAGAGCAACCATTTTAAAAACGGCCCCTTTTTCATCTCGCGTCTGCAGACCTGGAAGTCAGGCAGATGCAAGCCCGTCCTCAACGAGCAGCTCTTGGAAAGAAGCCACGATCCAGGCAACAATAGACGCGACTGGATCCTCGGGGCTGACGCGAGGCGGTTCCGCCCGAGCCCTGAACTGCCTCGTCCTCGCCAGGCCCCTCACTGCTTCCAGGACAGAAAGGAAGATTCCCGCTGTCCTCGCAGCCCCTCCGCCTCCTGTGCTTCTCAAAGGGGTGTAGTGGGCCACGGGTGGTGGGGAGGGGGGTGGGGGGGTGGGGAGTGAAAGAGGATTATTTACACTCAGAGTTACCGTTGTTCTGAACTCATTCAGGCCACCCTGGGGCTTTTCTGGCGTGGGACTTCCCTGTGTCCTAAGCCTTGATTCAAGTTCTGTGCCTGTGCAAGGTCAAGTCCAGCTTTTGCTGCTCAGACGGTGCTCTCCAGGTCAGGAGCGGCTGCCTTGTTCGGAAGGCAGCATCTCAGGCACCACTGTAGAGCTACCTGGTCAGAATCCCCGTCTGAGACAAGGTCCCCAGACACTTCCTCTGCGGTCGAGTTCATAGTTCATAAGGCTGATGCTCAGCCTCCACCTTCCTGAGTTTGGGGGCGAGGAGGCCCAGGAATCTGTGTTAACTCTCTAGGCGCTAACACGCCAAGCTGTGGAGCACACA